ATGTGATATTTTTTTGTATTTTCAATTATCGTAGGTAAGACTACTTATTAACAAATATAAGTAGATCTTTTTTGTATTATTGTATTTATATGTATATTAATGTTAACATTACTATCATTGCTGTATATATTAGGATGTATCCTATTTGAATAAAGCAGTTCATTTCAAATATTGAAAAGACGAGTAAGACATTTTTTGCTCGGTAAAAAATAAAGTAAATTCTATCTGGACCAGCTGGATGTTTATTATTGATTTCAAAAAACCATCTTCAATGAATCGGTATAGAAACAACCTACGTCTTCCAGTTACTATTCAACCTCCTTGTTTTCATCAAACCGTCCTATTTGAAAATCAGTAACAACTTACTTGCGCTATCTGATCGAACCTCCCGAAGAGTTCGTTCAGAGTCTTCACCAGATCAGAAGCTGATAGCTGCTCAGAGAGAGGGGTGAAGTTGACGATGTCAGCGTATAAGATAGACACGTTGTTGTGTCTCTGGACGTACATCTCGTGGAAGCTCCTGTTGGACTGCTCTTGACAAGCGTCGGCCATCTTCAGCATTATGCTTCGTTTCACCTGAAACAATGAGATTCATTTGAAAGAAGATTACTCATTCAGATTGGCAGCTCCGACTTAAAGTTAATCTATTGAAGACACTTCCACAGCACCAGAACAAAATCACGGTCTCTCGACGCTCAGTTCGCTAACTAGGTTAGTGTCCTCAGGAGATCATTATGACTGAGTCATTTCAAGAAATGACTGAGATGAGGTCATCTTCTCCTTCTTTTCGGCACCTCCAAAATAGGAGTTTCAATATCTTTCAGTAGTTTCGATCTCCATTGGGGTTTGAAGGCCGTCGTGGTTTGGAACTGCATACACCGTTTCGCCAGCACAAGTGGCTGGCTTCTTCAGACGTTCATTCATGTTGATGGTTCACCGATGACCGGTCATCAAGTTAGTGTCCTCAGGAGATCATTATGACTGAGTCATAATGATCTCGAAGTTAGCATCCTCGGGAGATCATTATGACTGAGTCATTTCAAGAAATGACTGAGATGAGCTCATCTTCTCCTTCTTTTTGACACTTCCAAAATAGGAGTTTCAATATCTTTCAGTAGTTTCGATCTCCATTGGGGTTTGAAGGCCGTCGTGGTTTGGAACTGCATACACCGTTTCGCCAGCACAAGTGGCTGGCTTCTTCAGACGTTCATTCATGTTGATGGTTCACCGATGACCAGTCATCAAGTTAGTGTCCTCAGGAGATCATTATGACTGAGTCATAATGTTCTCGAAGTTAGCATCCTCGGGAGATCATTATGACTGAGTCATTTCAAGAAATGACTGAGATGAGACCATCTTCTCCTTCTTTTCGGCACCTCCAAAATAGGAGTTTCAATATCTTTCAGTAGTTTCGATCTCCATTGGGGTTTGAAGGCCGTTGTGGTTTGAAACTGCATACACCGTTTCGCCAGCACAAGTGGCTGGCTTCTTCAGACGTTTATTCATGTTGATGGTTCACCGATGACCAGTCATCAAGTTAGTGTCCTCAGGAGATTATTATGACTGAGTCATAATGTTCTCGAAGTTAGCATCCTCGAAAGATCATTATGACTGAGTCATTTCAAGAAATGACTGAGAAAAGCTCATCTTCTCCTTCTTTTCGGCACCTCCAAAATAGGAGTTTCAATATCTTTCAGTAGTTTCGTTCTCCATTGGGGTTTGAAGGCCGTCGTGATTTGGAACTGCATACACCGTTTCGCCAGCACAAGTGGCTGGCTTCTTCAGACGTTTATTCATGTTGATGGTTCACCGATGACCGGTCATCAAGTTAGTGTCCTCAGAAGATCATTATGACTGAGTCATAATGATCTCGAAGTTAGCATCCTCAGAAGAACATTATGACTGAGTCATTTCAAGAAATGACTGAGATGAGCTCATCTTTTCGGCACCTCCAAAATAGGAGTTCCAATAAATTTTAGTGGTTTCGATCATTATGACTGAGTCAAAAGCTTGAACTTTACAAAGTTTTATTCCATTTAAAATATCTGCAAGATGTATAATGAAAAGTAATGGGCCTAGTAAAGACCCCTGCGGGACACCTGAAAGAATATCAAGTTTGGATGAGTACAAATCATTAACCAATATTCTCTGAGAACTTCTGAGACAACAATTCCACATTAAAAACGCTGATTTATTATCAAAGCCATAATATCTCAATTTAGCACAAAGCAGTTCATGACTAATGGTATCGAAAGATTGGAAAAAATCAAATAACACCAAAACACTATTTGAACCTTGATCATAGGCTGTTAAAATATCAGTCGTTACAGTTGCTGAAGATGTTTCAGTATTTCTTCCAGGTCTAAAACCACATTGACAATCAGGAAGTCATTTTTTGAAATGAAATAATCATACACTTGAGTATAAAGAAATTTTTCGAAAATTTTAGATAGAGCTGGAAGCAAGCTTATAATTCTCAAATCTGCAAAATCACAATCCAATTTTCCAAGCTAGTTTCATGTGCTCGAATCACATAAATTCCAACTCTGACCCGGAGAAAATTACCCCCATGCTGTTTCGCGAATGTTATGTGCTTCAACCTCGAGTTTTGAATAACTTTGAACTTCTACATAAACTATTACGACACATGTTGCCGACGGTCCATGGCGTCAAGGCCAACTGAGATGAATCTGGTGTGGAATTGTAGGTATATCGTGTTTATATGGGAAGATAGGTATACGTGTAATGTATTGAGACAATGAATAAATTGAAATGAAATTCGAGAAATTCATCTCATCCAACGTACCTACCCAGTGAAAAATGGTTAATGACTACCAAAAAACGATTACTTTCTTGGCTAGTACTACGATAGATATTGAATTATACAGTGTAACAATGAAAACTTAACAGAGCCGTTTTTGAATATAAAAAGTACGACTTTTGAAAAAAGCACGGACACGTCGATTTCTAATTAGAGGGGGACACCTTTCCGATTAATCAGATTTTTTGTAGTATGCACCCCCTCGGAGGGGTGCGTCCGACGACCCATAATGTATTGAGACAATGAATAAATTGAAATGAAATTCGAGAAATTCATCTCATCCAACGAACCTACACAGTGAAAAATGGTTAATGACTGCCGAAAATCAATTACTTTCTCGGCTAGTACTACGATGGATATTGAATTATACAGTGTAACAATGAAAACTTAACAGAGCAGTTTTTGAATATAAAAAGTAAGATTTTTAAAAAAAGCACGGACACGTCGATTTTTAATTGAAGGGGGACACTTTTCGGATTAATCAGATTTATTGGTCGGACGCACCGAAAGTAGGTCGAGTGGCACCTTGTTTTAAAGGTCTTTCGAATACCTTTACATATCTGTTGAAAGAAAATTTTTGTAACGATTAGTTTTCGCGATAATTTGAAGATTCAAAGGTATTTTTATTGAGTTCAACTCTTTTTAAAATAAATCAAATTGTTTTTAAGGTACAATTTACGTTCAGAACATTCATAAAAAAAATAAATTTTTGCTTTTTATGACAACCTGCTAATACGTGTTCATTTGATTTCGTAAGAAAGTAAGAATTATTTGTTTATTACGAGATTTTTTCGGGGGATGGGGTTGGTTACTACCCTTACATTTTAGGTAAATTGAGTGGCACCTCCTTATGAAGGTTGCCTTTTGACGTGGATATTTTATGCCTCTGATAAAAAAGTGAATCATACTAAAAACTTACCTACACAACGAATACAACCTGCTGATTTCCTTGAATGCTGATGACACAGAAAAGTTTAAAAAACTGTTTAAGGATCAATAAATCCCAATAATTGTTTTTAAAACACACACAAAACACCTAATAAGGGTAACTCACATAGGAAATTTAGAGTAAATGTTCAGAAAAATGTGCGCCATTTTGCTCCATGCAACAATAAAGATTTTGTTCGAATTTTGCTCTTACATTATTCAACATCTCAGGAGTTATAGCTCGGCATTCATCAATAATTCTACGACGTAATTCATCCAAATTGGCTGGCTGTGTAGCATAAACTTCAGACTTCAAATATCTCCACAAAAAGTAGTCCATTGGTGGTAAATCTGGTGATCGTGCTGGCCATTCAATTGGACCTCTTCTGCCAATCCATTGTCCTTCAAATTGATCATTCAAAAAATTTCGAACCTGCTAGACATAATGGGGTGGTGCACCATCTTCTTGAAAATGGATAAATTCATCTTGACATCTTGGATCCTGTTCAATTATTTCAACTATACGAGGTTGTATTGCCTCTTCAAGAAGTTGTAAATAAAAATCACCGGTTGAATTTCCATCAATGAAAAATGGACCTATAAAATGATTGCCTAATATTCCGGCCCAGACATTCAACTTTTGGGGATGTTGGGTATGTATTTCTGCGTATTGTCTTGGGTTTTCATCCGACCAATAACGGCAATTGTGACGGTTCACGCAACCATTTAAATAAAATGAGCTTTCGTCCGAAAAGCAGATGTTATAAAGCAGCTAGGGATTTTGCATTGATCTCTCACTCATGCCCTCACAAAACTCCTCTCTTCGGTCAAAATCATCCTCATTGAGTTCATGAACAAGTTTGATTTTGAAAGGATGGAATGTGTGGTTTTTAAGGATTCTCCATGTGTTCATATGGCTTACTCCGGCCATTGCTGATAAACCTCTTGTACTTAACCTGGGATTGGCGATGACTTGACCAAACACTCCAATCGCATTATCGTCATTCACTACCCTTCTCTGAACATTGCTTTTCTTATTTAAAACCAAACCTGTCTCCCTGAATTTTGTGATCAAATCCAGAACGTGATTTCTGCTTAGCTGTTTACCAGGGTTTTGCTGGTCAAATAAAATTGATGTTCAATTACCATTTTGGTCGTTGCCAAAAAATAAAGCAATAACTGAAACCCTTACAGCAGTAATGTAAGGCATTTTTAAACAAATAACAATACACGACCCGTTTAAACAAAACAATCGAACGATGTACTAATGAAAACTGGAAGAAGAGGAGTGGGTTTTGATTTTAAAAAAGGGATTTTATTTAACAAAAAACTGATAAGACGAAATGCTCGAAAATGTTTTCATTTAGGCATACGAGTTACCGAGTGGTCTGTCTAATGTATTATTAACATGGCAATTTTAATTTCAAATTATCTCGAAAACTAATCGTTACAATAATTTTATTCGAAAGCCTTTTGAAACAAGGTGCCACTCGACCTACTTTCGGTGCGTCCGACCAAAAAATCTGATTAGTCTGAAAGGTATCCCCCTTTAATTAGAAATCGACGTGTCCGAGCTTTTTTTAGAAATCTTACTTCTTATATTCAAAAACGGCTCTGTTAAGTTTTCGTTGTTACACACTGTATACGACTGCAGGTAAGTCTACAAAACTTACCTCACTGAGGTGAGTCTTGTAGATTTTTTCAACCTGTTTTACAAATTGCTCGCATTCAGCCTATTCCCAAAAAGGGCAAAGAAAATCTTCTAACTAACTATAGGCCAGTCACTTTGCTATCAGCCATAACAAAAATCATGGAGAATGTCGTGAATCACCATATCCTTGAATATTTGGGAGGCTTCAACATCTTGAGCAATTGTCAATATGGTTTTCGGAAACAACCTTCAACCTTCTATCGTTGGCCAAACGGAGAGAATCTTTTTCCAAAGAATGAAAGAACATAAGACTAGTTTCTTGAATGTGAATACAAATTCCACATTTGCAAACCATCTTTCGACAGAAGCACATGAGTTCAGCGACGACCATGATATATTTAATTCAGAAGAGAAAGGTTTGGAAGTCAATCTACTGGAATGTTCGAAAATAAAAAGTTTTGAGGATTCTGAAAATTTAAAGAATCGGTAGTTACTTCAAAACATATTCCTTCAATGATTTACTGAAACTTTTTTTCAGGATGTTTGAGTTTTTAATTAGTTTTCACGTAAACTCAGGTGAAATTATCGGTCATCAAAGTACGAAGGCAGTTATATGATTCAAATTGTTATTATATAAAGCAGAAGTTATACGCATGTCCATTCAATGAGTTGATTGAATTTTCATTTATGAGGTTTGAAAATTTTCAATCAATTTTTACCTGTACTCAAGTAAAATTGTAAGTCATTATCTAGGTAGAAAATCACATGTTTCAAATTATATATACCGGGTGTCCCACATTTTATGTGACAGGCAATATCTGGTTTGTTGAAGGAGATACACAAAAATGTTTCATACAAAAGTTTTAGGAGTTCATGAGAGCTATATTTTGATATAATTTTTAAATATACAGGGTGTTTGGTGTAGGTGCTACAGACCAAAATTCCATTTTTTAAAATAGAACGCCCTGTATATCATTACATATTCAGATGCTACGTTAAATTCTGATATCATTT